ACAATATTTGAGAGAAATACGCCTTTTGTGTACATAGAAAAGGTCTTAGAATTTTGAGTTCAGCTCATGAAAAATCGGGGCAAAAACAAAAGTGTTGCTTTTATAATTTTGTTCAGTATATTACCATTTGCTCTGGGGGCCACCTGTGCTCAAACTTCCTAAATTTTGTGTTATTTAAGATAAAGATATGCAAAGCAAAGGGGCAAGGTTGGCAGCTGGCTGTAATAGGTGAAATTTAACCTTAATAAATAGGGGGGTGCACAATATATTGGTACCATATTTGTTATTGACCCATATTAGAGATCACTTATGGATATGTTATATGGCCCTCATTCAAATGGTTTTCAATATCTATGTAGAACTGAACTTGATAAAATGAACATGGTTCCTTAATGAATAAATGTTTGTCTTTTTGAATTACAACAATAATGATATTTCAATTCACACACACTTCATTTTATTACCGGCCATTTTTCTGTCTAGTTTTGGCTAGAAATTGTTGTGTTTGTTGGCAGTGCTAAAGCATTTTCATATGTCACATGGGGTGTTTGCATGTAACGTGCTGTCACTTACATGACTGCTGCAACCTTTCATGCCTGTGCGCTTTGACCACAAGAACATCTGCATCCTTTCTGAAACTCACGTCAGAGACAGAGTGGGAGAAACCCGCAGCGTTAAACTGACACACATGACAGGTCTATGTCAAATGCATGTTAGAAAACTTGTATCTAATTTATGGACAGCTTGCTCATACCACACATGCTTAATCCACACTAATTTAATTAATCAAAGTAGCTTTATTTGCATATATGTAATTGTGCTGACATGCATGCATTTAATTTCCTTTGTAAGCCCTTTAAACTCACACTCACACAGACAGACAGAAAGGTTATGTGTCGACCAAAGCAGTTTATTGATGAGGGTGTCATTACACTGATAAGTCCATTAAAATGACAAACTGCACTGCTACCATCATTATGTACACAAAAGTGCTTTCATTTCTATTTGTGCTCAGTACCTGCTATGACGAACATAGATACTATAGCACACTACGGAAGCAAACATACACATGAATGAAGCTATTCTAATTGTTCAAAACTCTGTTGAGCTAACATGTAGAAGAATCCTGTCTATTGAAAGGTTTTGTGCACAAAGTTATTTTTCCTTTTTTATTGCAGTGCATTGAGGACAATGACTGAAAATGTATCCCAATCTATTACACTCAAGCCTACTGAGAGTTGTCCTGATGTATCAATTCCTAACAGTTCCTAAAAGAACAGTTCAGTCAAAAATGAAAATTGTCATCATTTACTCACCCTCATGTTGTTCTAAACCCACGACTTACTTTCTTCCATGAAACACAAAAGGAGAAGTTTTGAAGAATGTTTAGCAGCTCTAGTATACACAATGTCAGTATACGAGAGTCTGTCACGCTCCAAAAAAGAACAAAAAAAGCACCATAAATCATAAAATGAGTTCATACAACTTAAAAGTAAGTGTGAGAAGCAGAAATTTTTGTAAAAAAAAGTTTTTGAAAGTCTCGCTTGACCCTCCTGAGGGTATTTTGGGGTGAACTCTTCTTTTAAGAACATGATTATAGCACCAATACAACCATGACAACATCACTTCTGCATGTATTAAATAAAATTTTTGTGTGAACTCGAACTCATACTTTATGCATATCCTCTGGTTGGCACAGTGAACACAATTTTTGCTGATCAGATCAGGCAAATGATGTGGTCATTCATGTAAAGGCAACAAAATCTTTTTGATTCAGTGTAATCACGTGCAGCATGACTTTGATAGACCTGGATGACAGTCGGATAATACTGAATAACAATGATTGAAACATCCAGACTGCAAGATTTCAAACAACATAATATACTGTAGATTAAACGTCAGTTTAGGTTTTGTGACCATTCAGAAGTCATTCAGAAGTTTTGATTGCATAAGGAATAATAATAATAATAAACTTAGTGGAAAATAACAACCTTATATTATTTTGTCTGAAAACTATCAGAGAATTGGACATCTAACTATGAAAAATGTAAAACAATGCATTTGAGGCAACATGGTCACAGTTTGGCCACTTATTGATTCTGAAGAATGCTTTAGCTGATGACTCTTAATGTGGGGAAATGGGGAAACGGCATAAGATTTCTCACCTAACAGTACAGTCTGTAATAGCTGAAACGGCACCATGCTGAGATTATAAATGAGCTCTGGCTCTAAAAACAGTGTTGCTTTGACAAATATCAGGTCAGGAGCTTGGTTTTGTTGCAGTACAAACCACTGTGTTGGTCTCTGAAGTCTTCTGTGATAGATCAGCTTAGTGCTATAAAAATTATTCAGTTCTGAAAGGGAAGACTGGTTCATGTTCCGTAATAAGACTCCTTTGGTGGCAATCACTGATTTTGGCAGCAGGTTTCCGACAGACATGTAAATGAGGAAGTGCATGCTTCGCATATGACAGGTTTAACAAAGCTGAGTCTGGCCTGTGTGAAATTAGCATTGTCCTTGGCTTTCGATCCCACAGAATGCTGTTTATTAATCGCAGCCCAGAAGTAGGAGGTGCCGACCAGATGGGTATTTTTATACTGCTTCAGTTATATACAGCTTTCTGCATTTATCACTTTGACGCTAATTTGCCTGAGCCCATCTGCGATGTGTCGTTCCTATTTTCTGGCGCTCTTAGTAAAATATCAAATAAATAAATGACCGTCAGAATTATAAATCTATGAAATAAAACAAACAATTACAAAATGAGAAAATAAAAATATATATACTGGCAAACTGTAAACATAAAACGTTTAAATAGATGTTTTATTTACAGTTGAAAAATGCACCCAAAAGTATCGTGGCATTTTAAAATATTTAATATTTAAAAAGGTACAACTTTGCAGATTGACCTTTGATGCTACATACAGTTCTTTTGCAGATCATCTACAATGACATACAATGGCCAAACGGATTGCATCTTAGTAATGGCCGAATCAAAGCAGATCCACAGTGGGCTGATGTTTTTAGTCCTGAGTCTGTTTAATCGACTGCTGGTGTTTGGTACTGTATTGGTTCAGTGAGTGACCTGATACATTTCAAGAGTGTGTGGAGACATTTTTGATTGACATATGTCTTAATGCAAAGACTCGTTCCTGTGTGTGAATTTCAGGTTTGGTGAGCCATTTCACAATTTCAGTAGCGGAGAATCTGCTAAAATAGTGGACGTATCTTTTCCTGAAATCATTTCCCTGATGATTGTTGAAGGCCCAAGCCTATTGTTTGCCTATTCACACATCCTTATTTATAACGCATGCAAACTTGATTTTGGTTTTTCATAATACAAATGACCTTTTTTTGTATTACAAAATTAATGCCATCCATTGCCTCATTTATAATGAAACAAATGTTTCCAGTAACTTGCGTTATTACTACAGTTTCTACAATTTTGAACATTTAAAATGCCAACATTTCAGTCTTAAAGCACTAAATCTTTCTGCGCTATACATATATGTTGAGGCAATGTTTGTACACGTTGAAAATCCTCATATTTTTGTGTTTTATGAATGAAGGCCTCGCATCACAAACCACGTCCATCATTCCTATCGGTCCTCATGTTTAACACCATTTCCATTTTCAGTTGAAACGCAGATACCTGAATTACATGTGTAGTTTGACCACTGAATGTGGCATCGTTCTAAAAACCACTTGATAAAACTAAGATTTTTGCAAACTATCGTGGATTAGAAAAAATACTGATCGTACATAACTAGTTCAGTCAAATCTCTCCTACAATAAGGAAACACAACAAGGTGGAGACTGTTTACACCTCTGTGGTCAGTGTGACAAAAGTAGGCATTATGCAGTCCAAACAGTGAGTTTAAACCAAGAGCAAATACACAGCAGGTCCCTTTCCTTTTGTGTTCTTTCGCTTTGCACAGCATGCCGCTGCATCTTCACAGGACATCGAGAATCAGTTTATGTAAGATATGGGTTTGTTGTCCTGTTGGTGGGAGGTAAATAATGCTGGTCTCCCGGGTGCCAACTGAACTGAAATGAATACGAGCATGTGGGTATTCGGGTATACGGTATATCCGGTATACTGGGCATTCTGTCACTTCAGTTGGCTTTGGATGGTTTCTCCGGGAGAGAAAGAGATGCTCACACACAGATCATCACAGATGAATTACCTACGGGAGGCACTAGGACCCAGACAAACGATCCCTGAGAGAGTCAATGGGGGCCAGCTGGCAGACACAGATTTCTCGCCCTGAGAGGGGCAGCTGCAGCCAGACTGCAGACATGACATGCATTTCAGCGAACTGGTGTGGGAGCCCCCCCTCGCACGTCTCCCCACCCCGGCAGACGCTCTGTAAGCGCAGAGTCCGACCCCTGCATAAAAGCTGCTGCCTGCATGGACAGATGCACAGTTCCCTGAAAGAACCAATCCCAACCCCCAAACCCTAACCTTAACCCCCTTTTGTCCACAGTCCAAACAGTTCAGGCACACATTGACACACACACACCTGCACGCAGGGCAGATGCAGAGCTGCTTTTAAATCACGTGTCTTAACGTCTGCGGCAATGGCAAGGTGATGAAAGTGCTATTACCTAATTAAAAAATATGATATGAATTATGTGTCTGCAGTGATTTCCTCTGCAAGGTTCCTGATGCTTTACCTTTAAGTGCTGGAGGTTTTAATAAATGATTTCTCTCATCTTTTCCTTTTCATCATTTTTGTTTCAGAATATTAATGCACCAAAACTGTCAGCAGACCTCTATATTTATGCACATTGAAACTTCTGGGGGAAATCATATTTGAATGAATCATGATTAAGTATTAATTTTATGAGCAGTGATGAAAATTACAGCGCTGTATAATAAAGGGCTTGTTCACCCAAAAAATTAAAATTGCCATCATGTCCTCACACTCATGGCATTCTGGCTTCTGTAGATCACAAAAGAAGATATTTTGAAGAATGAATGTCAGTGGTTGACATGGACAAAAACAGCTGACACATTCTTCAAAGTATCTTCTTTTGTATTTTGTGAAGAAAGTAATTCATGTAGATGAGTAAATGATGACCGAATTTTCTTTTTTGGGTGAATTGTCCCTTTAAATTGATATAAATCCTTGCCTCTAACTGCTGCCCATCAGGTACTGTGTCTTAAGAACTACACCCAACTGCCTCTGAAGAGCTAAACAAAATCTGAATGTCTTAATGTCCTGAACAGCTCTGCAAAGCCCTGTGTGTCTGTTAGCTAAACTAACAAGATGTGACATGCTTGGAAAGGAAAGCAATAGCACTTATGGAATTCAGTGAGAAAAATAAACACATGGAAAAAAGGAATTGTCCAAGTACAACATGGACAAAATATTTTCAAATTGGCAGCTATGCAGGCCTGACCACATTACAGAGGGCTCGACTTTAGTAGGTGAACACTAGGTCTGAGATGCTGGGCACGAGCAAGTCCCCAGAAATCATTTCATTCACCTCTGGAGTGCAGTAATCTGGGAAGTCAAAATGGGATCCTGAGTTAGCATGAAATGCTTCGAAGTCCTTGTCCAGAGCGGAGCAGTCCATAGGCATACTGTTAGAAATGATATGCAAGAGTTCCTCGTCCAATTCCTCATCCGAACAAGCTGATGACACCAAAGAGGAGGAGCTGGTTGAGGTTGGAGTGGAGGATCTTCCAGAAGTCGACCCTCGTGGCTCGCTCGTTGTGCACTCCGGGAGTGCCTGGCACTCATTATCCGAGGAGAGACTCTGGATGCTGCTGGTTTGAGAGATGGGCACTTTCACTCTGAGCTCAGGAACTGGTTGCTGGTCCTCAGAGGGAATGGTAGCCTGCTGGTGAAGGACAAAGTGACTTGACGGGTTGTGATCATCTTGCAGAGTCACTGGACTTTCTATGTTTACATCCATCATGTCGTCATCACTCATGCTCTCGCTGTAGCTCTTATATTTATTGCCATTAAAGTTCATTTTAGGCTTGGTAGAAGCGGGTTTGATCTTTAGCCCTTTGCAGGAGAGCCCAGTAGATCTTCCTGAATGGGACTTGCTGGATTTCATAGGCAACTTCTCTCTAAGTTTCACAGGAGTGGAGCACTTACTCTTCTTCCTGGGCCGGTACTTGTAGTCAGGATAGTCAGCCATGTGCTTTAGACGCAACCTTTCAGCCTCTTTGATGAAGGGTATCTTCTCATAATCAGGCAGTAGTTTCCAGCGCTTTCCAAGGCGCTTTGAAATTTCAGCATTGTGCATGTCAGGCCACTGCTCCATGATCTTCCGTCTCTCAATCTGGGACCAGACCATAAAAGCATTCATTGGTCTCTTGATGTGCCCAGTTGGAGTTTTGCACCAGTTGGGGTCTTTGTTAGAAGGTACATGTCCAAACACCTCAGCATCATCCTCTGCCGCCAGTCCCACAAAGACCTCTCTGGTAGAATTGCCATCCATGACTGATGAGTATTTGTGGGTTCTTTGCTGAACCATGATGCAGTGCTGAGATCTATTCAGTAGGTTCCCTAGAGTCGTCCATGATGAGACACTCTAAGATGCAGCAATTCATTAATTCCTGCTTTTTATCCTGAAATAAATAAAGACATGTCTTCAGTGACCTCTTATAAACTTATTCATCTGTTAAATACAAACTTTCATTTTTCCAAGACAACTGTTTCCAAAATGTAATATTTATTTTAAATGGATAATGACATAAGCCTTTAAATGTAGTCATTTAAACATGTGATAGATAGATAGATAGATAGATAGATGTACGTACAATTTTTTTAATATTACTAAAATATTCACATTTAATTATATATATATAAATAAAAAAATTTTTATTACAGTTTAGTACTTACAGTACAAAGGAAGAAAGCTTCTTGCTTACTATGCACAATCAATTGCTCTCCTCACATAAGCATCTCCTCCGCTGTAGCAGTTGTGGTGGAAGTAAAAAAAAAAAAAAAGCTATCCAACGTCTGCCTGCTGTCCTGCATGCGAACCCTCTCTCTCAGATGCTCTCTATCCTCTCAGTCACTCTTCCTATCCTCGTCTGCCGTTTCTCCTCCCGGCTCCTTCTTTGTAAGGATGCCCCCCCTCGTCTGCTGTTTTATAAACCCACACTGTAAACAGCTCAACCTTACAGACACAGTCTCCTCCCCTTCCACCCACCGCTCTCAGTCGTGGTGTGTGTGTTTATGTGCGTGTGGGTGTGTTAGTGTCAAGGATAGGGGGGTAAAAGTTTCCATGCAGTGAGGCACAGCTACAGTGCAGCGGATGGAAAGAGAGAGAGAAAGATGCTAACTGAGGAGGTTTTAAATGCTACAAGCAAAATCTTAAATTAGGACAAGACCTTCAAGGCAGTCTGGCACATGTAGAAACATGTATTCATGAATTTGTGTGATGTAATTCTCAATTTTCAAAAATGGAACTAGCACACTAGGCATGTATTTAATGCTGGAATTTGTATATGTGCATTTTTAATTTAAAAGAATTCATTTAAAAAAATCAATATGAAATGTTTTTGAGCGTGTGTTACTAAATGTGTGTATTTTAAATTCTGTAACTGAATCTTTTTCACCACTTTTTATTTTTGGGCTATTTTTACATTATTATTATTACTTTTATTATTATTAGCAAAATATATAGTTTAGAAATTTAAGACATCTTTTTTGTGATATTAAATATACTGTGTAGTAGCCAGTATTGTATATTTAATTATGCAGGCTTATATATATATATATATATATATATATATATATATATATATATTAT